ATTTATTTATTTGACAGAGAGAGACACCGCAAGAGAGGGAACACAAGCAGGGGGAGTGGGAGAGGGAGAAGCAGGCTTCCTGCCGAGCAGGGAGCCCGACGTGGGGCTCGATCCCAGGACCCTGGGATCATGACCTGAGCCGAAGGCAGTCGCTTAACCAACTGAGCCACCCAGGCGCCCTTTTAGAAATCTTTATCTTATATTTGAGTATGATTATGTCTTTTTAATTTTTTAAAAATATGCATTTTTACCAATCTTGCTTTTATCAATGAATACTGTCTGATATTTTGTTATACCACTCTGCCAGTGATTCTCAGCTGGGGCAGTTTTGCCCCCCAGAATACATTTGCCTGTAGACATCTTTGATACAATGCATAGAACAATCCCTACAACAAATTATCTGATCCAAAAGATCAATAGTATTGATGTTGAGAAACCCTGCACTAAATAATTAAAGAATATGATATTTTTCATATGTAACATCATCATAACTTATTTAATTGCCTTCCTAAGTTGTTTTACTTAGAAGTTGTTGGTTTTTTTTTTTTGTATTGTAAGTATCACTTTGATAAATAGCCTTCTATAATTTTTTGGTACCATTAATTAATTCCCAAATGTAGACATTTTCTGAACCCAAAGAAAACTATGATTTGAGAGGCATCATCTTGGAAGCTGGAAATTACTTAGGAAACAAAAATATGGGAAATACAAAGTCTTTATCATGTCATATTTTTAGTGGAACTTATAATATGTTCACACATGAAGATCTTCCATTAGTTTTATTTTTTTAAGATTTTATTTAAATTCCAGTTAATTAACATACAGTATAATATTAATTTCAGGTGTACAATTTAGTGATTCAACATTTCTATGCAACACCTGGCGCTCATCACAAGTGCATCCTTAATCCCCATCATCTTTTTAACCCATCCCCTCTGGTAATCATCAGTTTGTTCTCTATAGTTTTATACTTTTAAACCCTTTTTTCCCAGGTAATATGCAGTTGACCCTTGGACAACATGGGTTTGAACTGTGAGGGTCCACTTATATGTGGATGATTTTCAATATAGTATAGGACTATTAATGTATTTTCTCCTCCCTATAATTTTCTTAATAACATTTTCTTTTCTTTAGCTTATTTATTGTAAGACTACAGTATATAATACATAGAACATACAAAATATGTGTTAATCGACTGTTTATGTTATTGGTGAGGCTTCCAGTCTGCAGTAGGCTGTTGTTTATATATGTATGTACATAAGTAGTTAAGTTTTCGGAGAGTCAAAAGTTATATGTAGATTTGTGAGTGTGCATAGGTTGGTGCCCCTAATCTTCACATTGTTTAAGGGTCAGCTGTACTCTTAAATTGTTTTAAGGCCCTTTGTGTTCTATACAGCTTTTTGTGAAAGCTTCCTACAGCTTGCTTTATGGTTAGGTATCAGATTTCAGAATCTTAAGGAATACTTGACCAACCTGTCTATAAATACCTCGTGCATTCTTTATTCTTAATTCTTTTCAATACATACCAGTATTAAGATGGTTTATAGAAGGGATAAGATAATAGAAAAAAACAGAGGACTGGCTTTAATCTGCTGCCTAATCTCAGTTCAGGTCTCGCTCTTACCTAGACCTCAATTTTATCATCTGTAAAATGAAGGAGTTATACCACATAATTCCTATAGGCTTTTCCAATTTTAAACCTGTGATATGCTATTATTTTATATTGCTTTTATTTAGCTTTTGGCCATGATCTTTTATTGTTCCTGAGATAAAATAGAGATAAAACAAAGATTTCTAAAATATTTTAAAGTTCCTCATATTTGTTCTTTATTACCCTCCATCTGCCTTCTTGTAGTGATTGATAATACAAATTTTAAAATGCAAAGTGTCTTATGTTGGAGGACTGCAAAGAATGATACTGGAAAAATAACAAAAATTTACAGCTAGACTGGGAAAGGAGAAAGCTAGATAAGAAAAAAGGAGGTGACAGCTGTACAAAAACAAACAAAACCTAGGTATCAAATCGAGGCAGGGTCAGAGAAATGCACCCTGGACCCTAATCACCATGAGGCCTTGTGTTGAAATTTGTTAATATTGCACAGGAGCCTAGAATTCAGGTTTCCCAACTTCCTGGTTAATGTTTTAACACTACAGTATGTCATAGCATTCATATTATTATGTCATTTAATTTTACCTAGAGAATGAAGATACATGCATGAAATAATCTTTTATAATTTATTTGTATAGGTTTTTTTAACCACTTAACTTATTTTCTGGCTGCTGGTGCTGTTACTTTGGGAATTGGTTTCTTTGCTTTGGCATCAGCTTTGTGGTTCCTGATTTGCAAACGAAGGTAAGGTTTATTAGAATTCTTAACTTTTTTTCCTCTTAAAAATTCAGTGAGGGGCACCTGGGTGGCTCAGTTGGTTAAGCGACTGCCTTCGGCTCAGGTCATGATCCTGGAGTCCCGGGATCGAGTCCCACATCAGGCTCCCTGCTCGGCGGGGAGTCTGCTTCTCCCTCTGACCCTCCTCCCTCTCATTCTCTCTGTCTCAAATAAATAAATAAAATCTTTTAAAAAAAAAAAAAGAACCATTAAAAAAAAATTCAGTGAAAGACTTTTTCAAATGGTATTAAATAACTATAATAGCACTGATTCTGTAATTTGAGGTTTGGTTATAGACACTTTGATTGGGGAGGGAAAGCTTTACATGTTTAAAATAGCCCAGAAAGACAAGTCCTACTAGTATAATAGTCTGAGTACTGTAATAGCAATCTTCATGCATTAAAATTTTAAGGAATAATGAGACATATTTTATTCTCTAGAAGATGTGTGTTCAAATTATAAGGCTAGAAATTAAAAAAAATTTTGATTTCTAATTTAGAGGTTAAAAACATTACTGAGACAAAAAGACTCTCTTTCTTTAGGAGATATTTAAGAGACGAGCTGACAGAATGCTCTGGTATAGTCTAAATGTAGTCTTTTGCCAGAGACAGAAAACCCTAAAATTTGGTGGTTTTGATTATTTTGTTCAGTATTTGCTTTGTTTGATGTTTAAAAATGTAAATTGTAACACATTCTTGCACACACTCTTCCAGTATTCCCTATCTCAGCAAATGAATGCATACTATCTACTCATTTGCACAAGTCAGAAAACTGGAAATTATTCACTTATTCATTCTTTTAACAAATATTTATTGGTGCCTGCCACTGTTCTAGGTACCGAGGATACAACTGTGAACAAGTCAGACAGTTTCTGTTTCATAGACTAGCAGTGCCACTGGGAGGAGACAGATAATGAAAAATAAAATGGTCAGGGAATGTCTCTTCAAGTGGGCAATATTTAATCTGAGATCAGAGTTAAAAGAAAGAGCCAACCATGTGAAGACTTTGTCAAAGAGCTCTCTCAGCTGAGGGGTTAGCAAGTACAAAGACCCCACATGGGAATGTTCTCAGTATTGTTCAATAAAGGGAAAGAAGGCTAGTGTATAGACTGTAGTGAGTGAGGGAAATAATGATGAGACTGAAGATGTAGATGGGGGCTAGATCACATAGGATGTTGTAGGCCAAAATATGGAGTTTGGATTTTATTATTTATGCCATCATAAGGTTTTAAGCCAGAGAATGACATTATCAGCGTAATAATGGCTAACATTGAGGGCTTACTACATGGTAGGCACTGTTCTAAGTGCTTTATACGTGATCTCATTTAACCACCCGATGAGGTAGCAGTAATATTATCTCTCTTTTAAGGACACTATAATGTCACCTATAGATGATGTACATTTTTATAAAACTTAAAATTTGAGATATAATTCACATACAGTATAATACATAGATTTTAAATGTATGATGATGAATTTCAGCAAATATATTCCCATGTAATCACAACCCCAGTCAAGATATACAACTTTCCATCACCCTGGAAATTTCCCTCATGCTCCTTTCCAGGCATCACTCCCCACCTCCCACTCAGAGGCAGTCATTATTCTGATTTTTATTACCAGAGGTTAATTTTGTCTAGTCTTGAGTTACATGTAAATGGAATCATATGGACTTTTTTATGTTTGCTTTTTTGACTTAACATAATATTTTTGAGATTCATTCATGTCATTGTATTATCTGTATTTCATTCTTTTTATTGATGATTTTTATTAATTGTATAAATATACCTCACTTTATTCTTAATGGACAATTGGGTCATTTCCAGTTTTTAGTTCTTAGGAGTAAGGCTGCTATGAATGTTCTTGTATAAATCTTTTTGTACATGTGCTTTCACTTCTCTTGGGTAAATGCCTAAGAGTAGCATTGCTGGATCATATGTGGTTAACTTTGTAGCAAACTGCTGAACAGTTTTCCAAAGTGGGTACATGCTCCTACCAGCAATATATGAGAGTTCTAATTCATTTTTTTAAACGATAATGTCTTAGACTAATATGGAAGTAGAGGAGATAAAAAGAAGAGGTTGGATTTGGGGTGTGTTTTGCAGGTCAAGTTAGCAGGGCTGGTTTGATGGATTAGATAAGGTAAGGGAAGATAAATGAAATGGCAGAATTAATGCTAACACCTAAGTTTTTACCATGACCAGCTGAGTGGTTGATCATGCCATTTACTGAGATGAGAATATGATTAGAGAGGGGAGCAAGTTGAGGGAATAGTGATAAACTAGGAGTTGCAATTTGAAAAGTCTTTTGGACATCCATTAGAAATGTCAAATACTCAGATATACTTGTAGGAACTTCAGAAGAGAGTTTAAGCCTGAAGATTTAGGATATCAATGTATAGAGGGTATCTAAGGTCATAGAACTGGGTGAGACTAACCAGGGAGTGATTGTTGGAAGAAAAGAACCTAGGACTGTGCCCTTCAGCCCACCAACATTTAGAAATCTAGCAAAAGAATAGGAAGAATCAATATCTGAGAAGGAAAAACAGGAAATTCAAACACTGGGAAGCTAAAGACCATTCTGCTCAAGAATGTTTGGGTCAACCAGGAAATCAAAGAAGAACTCAACCAATTCATGGAAATCAATGAGAATGAAAACACATCAGTCCAAAACCTATGGGATACTGCAAAGGGGGTCCTAAGGGGGAAATACATAGCCATCCAAGCCTCACTCAAAAAAACAGAAAAATCCCGAATTCACCAACTAACTCTACACCTTAAAGAACTAGAGAAAAAGCAACAAATGGTGCCCAAGCCATGCATTAGAAGAGAAATAATTAAGATTAGAGCAGAGATCAATGAATTAGAAGCCAGAAACACAGTAGATCAGATCAACAAAACTAGAAGCTGGTTCTTTGAAAGAATTAATAAGATTGATAAACCACTGGCCAAACTTATCCAAAAGAAAAGAGAAAAGACCCAAATTAACAAAATTATGAATAAAGGGGAGCGATCACGACTAACACCAAGGAAATAGAAACAATTATTAGAAATTATTATCAACAACTATATGCCAATAAATTGAGTAACCTGCATGAAATGGATGCCTTCCTGGAAACCTATAAACTCCCAAGACTGAAACAGGAAGAATTGACAACCTGAATAGGCCAATAACCAGTAACGAGATTGAAGCAGTGATCAAAAACCTCCCAAAAAACAAGAGTCCAGGGCCTGATGGATTCCCTGGGGAATTCTACCAAACATTCAAAGAAGAAATAATACCTATTCTCCTGAAGCTGTTTCAAAAAATAGAAACAGAAGGAAAGCTTCCAAACTCATTCTATGAGGCCAGCATTACCTTAATCCCCAAACCAGGCAAAGACCCCATCAGAAAGGAGAATTTCAGACCAATAATCCTGATGAATATGGATTCCAAAATCCTCAACAAAATCCTAGCTAATAGGATCCAACAATACATTAAAAGGATCATCCACCACAACCAAGTGGGATTTATCCCCGGGATGCAAGGGTGGTTCAACATTCGCAAATCAATCAATGTGATAGAACACATTAATAAGAGGAGGGAGAAGAACCATATGTCCTCTCAATTGATGCAGAAAAAGCATTTGACAAAATACAGCATCCTTTCCTGATTAAAACTCTTCAGAGTATAGGGATTGAGGGAACATTCCTCAAGTTCATAAAATCTATCTATGAAAAACCCACAGCGACTATCATCCTCAATGGGGAAAAGCTGAGAGCCTTTCTCTTAAGATCAGGAACACATCGAGGATGCCCACTCTTGCCACTATTGTTCAACATAGTACTAGAAGTCCTAGCAACAGCAATCAGACAACAAAAAGAAATAATAGGTATTCAAATTGGCAAAGAAGAAGTCAAACTCTCTCTTTTCGCAGATGACATGATACTTTATGTGGAAATTCCAAAAGACTCCACCCCCAAATTACTAGAACTCATACAGCAGTTCAGTAATGTGGCAGGATATAAAATCAATGCACAGAAATCAGTTGCTTTCTTATACACTAACAATGCAACTGTAGAAAGAGAAATAGGCAAAATGATTCCATTTACAATAGCACCAAAAACCATAAGATACCTTGGAATAAACCTAAGCAAAGAGGTAAAGGATCTATACTCTAGAACTGCAGAACACTCATGAAAGAAATTGAAGAAGACACGAAAAGGTGAAAAAACATTCCATGCTCATGGATCGGAAGAATAAATATTGTTAAAATGTCTATGCTGCCCAGAGCAATCTATACCTTCAAAGCCATCCCAATCAAAATTCCAATGACATTTTTCAAAGTGCTGGAACAAACAATCCTAAAATTTGTATGGAATCAGAAAAGACCCCAAATCGCCAAGGAAATGTTGAAAATCAAAAACAAAGCTGGGGGCATCACATTGCCCGATTTCGAGGTATATTACAAAGCTGTGATCACCAAGACAGTATGGTACTGGCACAAAAACAGACATATAGACCAATGGAACAGAATAGAGAGCCCAGATATGG